ACTAAAACCAAGAAAGTAGTAAAAATAAGTGCAGACTCTTGGAGGATGCAACTGAGGAATTAATACAGGGAAATAGTAAATAATTAAAACAGATATTTTGCATCTGTTTTCGTAATGGAGGACACTATAAACATCCCAAAAATAACAGATGAGCAAGGTACTAATGGAAGAAAAGCTCCTGTAACAATCTCCGTAACAACGTATTTGACAAACTAAGGCAGACAATTTGCCAGGACCTGCTGGCCTTCATTGAAAGGTTTTAGAGAAGGTGACTACAAGAACAGTGGAAGCATTGGCCAATATATTGCAGAACTCACTGTATACCAGGAGTTTTCAGTGGATTGGAAAATTGCTAATATGAAACCCATTTTCGAGAAGGGTGGATGACGGAAAGTAGGCATCTCTAAGCCAGTTAACACAACATATGTCATTGGGAAATTGCTAGAGTGCATTATTAAGGAAGAAATAGCAGGATATTTTGAAAAGCTTAATGCAAGCAGAGTCAACATGGTTATGTGAAAAGGAAATCATGTTTACCAAATTTACAGCTGTACTTTGTGGACACAGCAAGCAGAGTTGACAAATGGGAATGGTAGATGTCATGTATTTGGATTACCAGAAAGCATTCAATAAGGTGGTAAATAAAAGTTTATTACACAAGACGTGGGCTCACAGTTTTGAGGGTAATCGATTAGTACAGATTGAGGATTAGTTAACACACAGAAGACAGAGAGGTAAGATCAATGGTCTTTTTCAAGGTGGAAAGATGTATAACAAGTATACTGTCACAAGGATCAGTTGCAGAGCCTCAATTATTTACTATCTATATGAATAACATGAAGAAGGGGGCAGAGTGTATTGTATCCAAGTTTTACTGACTGTACAAAAATAGGTGAGAAAGCATGCTGTGATAGGGATATAAGGAGTCTGCAAAGGGATACATGCAAGGTAGATTGAGTGAGTGGGCAAACACTTGGCAGATGAAGTTTAATTAGGAAAATATATGAGATTATGTACTTTGGTAGAAAGAATCAAAAGGTAGGCTATCATTTCAATGGAGCCAGACTTCAAAGATGTGTAGCACAGAGGAATCTAGGTATTCTTGTGAATGAAACATAAAGTTAGCATACCAGCGTAGCCTGAAATAACTAAGAAGGCAAATGGATTTTTGTCTTTTATTGCTAGGGGGTTGATTTTAAAAATAGCTGAGTTAGGTTTATTACAACTGTACAGTGTGGTTGTAAGGTCACACCTGGTGAATTATGTATTGTTTTGGTCCTCGTGTTTAAGAAAGAGGGATTGGAGGGAGATTCAACAGGCTGATTCCTGGGATGAAAAATTTGACTTGTCAAGAATAGCTAAACAGGTTAGGCTTTTATTCATTAGAGTTTAGAAGAATGAGGGATGATCTTATTGAAACATATGAAATTCTTAGGGGGTTTACAGGGTAGAATTTAATAAGATGTTTCCACTACTTGGCGGGATCTCAACTACAGGGTATAATTCTACAATAAAATGATATTCATGAGATACAAAGTAATTTATTTACGGAGAAAGTGAATGCTTGGAATTCTTTGTGCCAGAGAGTAGTGGAGGCTAAATCACTGAAAGTATTTAAAGTGGAAGTAGATAGGGTTTTGAAATATCTGGAAGTTGAGGGCTATGAGGATTCAGCACAAGCAAGGAGTTGAGACCTGGAGGAGATCAGCCAAGATTGTGCTGTGGAGCGGGATAGCCTTAAGATGTCGAATGGTCTACTCCTGTTCCTATTTCCTAAGTTCTTAGATGACTAGGATAGTTAAGGCATTACCCTGCATGCATGAGTCATTCCGTGGAGCTCAAATACGCTGTTTTCTTTCAGAAAGACAACAATCATGCTCTCACACTGTCACTCTGCTAGTGTCCTCATCATTGCCTGCAGGCCAGTCAGCCCCAACCACAGCTGTCCAAAGATGGGTCTTCTAGATCCAGAACCTTTTAAGGTCATTTTCCAGGTTATGTTTAGCATCCTTTACTGGAAGTCAGTAGCCTACTACTACCAACGTTGCAGTCAGTTTAGTAGAAATACAGAAGACTGGTTTGCACAAGATGAATTGTTGACTTCTTTATACAATAGAGCATTACCTTATTTTTAAGTTGCATTTGGATTGTTTTCACTGTGATGGTCAAAACAAAGGGGAGATAAGTTGCTGAACTGTTGGTAAATTGGGAACTGGGGAACTAATCTGACACTTGAACATGAACTCAATGCACAGCTCAGGCACAGAGTGGCTGTCTAGACTGCTCCCTTTTTCTTTCTCCGGCTGTAAAGCTGGTGGCTGTCGCTTCATGAAGACAAGAAATGTGCAGTATGCAACTGACAACCATAAATCTTGACATGCACTCTGCAGCAGAAACTTTGTTTTCTAATCACATGGCTTTCACTCTGAGCATGCTATGCACGTGTGTGATAGTGTATTTATAGTAGCTCCCCTTTGCTATCCCAGATCGGCAATGCAACAGAGTGCCACAAAATAAAGACATCACTACTGCTCCCTGGATATTAGGCATTGATCTGCATGATTCACTGAATATCATCAGAGATGTGCTGGACACAGACAGTGGATTCCACCTCAGTTCCAGCACTGGACGGAGTTAATATGTGGAGTTAAATGAATCAAGCACTTGAAATTGAAATGTAGTATCTCTCTTTGAACTCAGAATCTCATATGCTTTTTTAAAAAATGTACATGACAAACTGTGAGTGTAGCAAATATTTCCATTTCAAACCTGGATAAATAAGAGCTCATTGCCATAGGCACTTTGATGGCTACTGGCAATGTCGTACTTGTTCTTCAATGAGTTTGCCAGTTGTGGCTGCAGGAGTTGTCAAATGTCAGTGAGGGTTCATCATTAATGTAAATAGGATAATTCCTCCTTAAACACTGGTGTTGTTATGGCTTTCTAATGAGAATCCTTCATCCCACTCCTCCTTCCTCTTCCAGTGCCCAACATGCCCTCTGTTCATTCTTTCACTCATCCTGAAGTTCGAAAGGGAATGTCTACTCCAGTACCTACACCTGGAATCAATTGGTTTGTGCAGAAATCTTTGTCAACAAAATGTCTTTGAGTACGTGGCGCAAATTCTGCACGTTTTTTTTAACCTTGAAATCATCAAACTACAATAGAATTGCGACAACAACAAGAATAATTTAATCTGCAACTAACCTGTAAATAGTTGATTCCTTAAATAATGTTGGCGGGAAATCCTTCAGTTGTTGAGACTGTGTTCAACTATGTAAGGTTAAGGGGGGCACTGGCTGTAGAATTGAGTTCAAAGTAGCGCTATTGGTGCCAAATCAATATTACACATTGAACTACATGATATCCCTCCTCTGCATACATCTGGTGGACATTTACTGTGTGCATGCTAATACCTGCTCCAAAACCTGCCCCACAAGTGTGTACTCATGACACAGTGAACTTAGAAACTCAAAAAATAATTTTTAACTATAGTAGTAAATGCAGTCATTATTTAAATTCTGGTATGAAGTTGACCATGGTGGAGTAATATTAATGTGATTTACATCTCGGGTTCATGCAGAAAGCCATTTAGATCTTAAGAAGTATTAGACCCTTATTGGACTGATTCCCAGTCTAGCTCCTTGTTTCAATGTCGCAGTAACATTGTAATGTGTCTTTGCTGCCTTTAGAGGTGCCAAGGAGGATCTAAAGGAATTACTGTCAGTCATGGAGCAAGGAAAATTTTGACAGAAAATAGAAATATTGCATTTGACTGTGCAAAACAACTATTTTATCGAATTGGCTGACAGCTGAGTAGGCTGAGGTTCTCAATTCACCACTATGGACCAGCCCTTCCATGTTTCTTCATGGAAGCTTCCTTGACCAGGAAGAAAAGCCACATAGTCAGAAATAGTTCAGGCAATGTCTTGCACCGTGTTCCTTTCCTGTTGCGCTGTTGCTGTGAAAGTCAGTGTACAAAAGGGGTAAATTGTAAAAGCAACCAGAGGCCCAGTTTGGAAGAGAACCAGCGGTTCACATAATATCACATCAGAAGATATTATGGCAAACTGTAGCCTCAGTTTGTGCTTGAACCCAGGCAACTGCAATAAGTCAGAGTGGAAACAGTTAAATTATGAATGTCTTTCCAAATTTAATGAAAAGTCACATTGTTAATTTCATCCAGAGTTAACTGCTGCCACTCGCAGCAACCCAATCAACAACATGCCTGTACAGCCTCACACTGTGGTGAGACTTTGTACAGACAAGGATGAGCAGCACATTCGAAATTACACTTGAGAAAAACACTAATTATCCCGTCGGTTACCAGCAGACAGGGAGCCGCACTTCTCTTACTGTTGGACAGGATGCTTGCTCGTCTACAGCAAGTCTGAACATCTCCCTCCAGGAGATAGCATAAGCAACATCCAACATGTGCTTGGATTGCGAGCGTGTTCAGTCATGTCTTGCTGCAAGACATAACCTTTAAAATATATACAGGATAAAAAAAAAAGTGTTTTCAATAAACTAGAGACTTACGTTAAAACCAATTCTCACAATGAAAAGCACTTTACTTTTCTCTTTGGAGAAAACACTGATGTTACAGCTGAAGAAGTTCGAGTATGTTGCATTCTAGTTTACTTTCTGGCCAGACTACAGTTTGAAATTATATATTCTGTTGCAAAGACTGGTATTTACTGTCTGGCATGCAGAGGGATGCATAGGGTACACAATGAAAGCAAGTCATTTCAGCAAAACAATGAGTTTCAAAGCTGCATTAAGCTAATCTCCAAAAATACTTTAACAATAGTTGCACAACAAACTTAGATAATTTAATTTGTTTATGAAAAAGAGAAAGTGAAGAAGAGAAGAACAAAGAACATATCACAACAGATTGAGACATATTTTTGATGATGAATAATGACCACAAAATTTCTATATAAATAACATTACTTTATCAACAATATATCTCAATTAAAAATATGAAAGAGCAGACTCACGGTCCAGGTAGCTGACTTAGCAGTACTTGATTGCTGAAAAGTTACTTCAAATAAATGTGGTCCTGGATAGTCTGTGTTGGAAGGGATTGCTGGAGCTGGCGACATAGTGTCAAACGTGGAGCTTGGCTGTGAGTAGGGAGACGGCGTCGGGACATTCGAGGTGTGCTCCGAGTTGTAAGGGCTGGCGGAGGATGCACGGTTGGTGATACTCTGATCCATGCTGCTGTTTAGCAAATTAAACTGGGACTAGAAAGGCAAAGGGGTGGGGATAAGAAGTAAAACAACCAGGTAAGGACTTGCAACATCCACTTATTTCAGACCATTAAGAAAACACACACATCAGACAGCTGTCACTACATTTCGACTCCTGGAATCTTTTTTTCCCTGTTACTCCATGTAAAGACTTGTCAACTAATTAATTGTAAATGCATCATTCAGGCAAATATGAAGGGTAAAATGTCTATGTGAAGCATGTCGCTTCCTCTTGCTCGTTTTTCTGACCAATGGTCTCTGAAAATTTTTCTTACACTAAATACTGTTTGTGGCCATCAGTTTACTTATAACTGTTTGATGATTGTGGCAGAAATCTGATTGAATTGCACAGGCTGTTTTTGTGTCTCAATCATATAATTCTAAGGACAGAACCCTGTACAAATGAATGAACAAAAATCATTCAATATCATTTTTCCTTCAGGGCTAAGTAACAGTTTGGATTCAAGAATGAGTTAAAATTTACTGTAAAGATCAGATGAACACTTAATTGAAAAAAAACTTCAAGAAAATCAAAGAAACATCCTTGGTGGTACCTAAAAAATAATCTCTCTCAACCACACTTCACTGCTGAGGACTTGGCTTGAGACTTTATTCTCTTCCCTACTTATCAGTATCTCTCTGCTACTTCACTTCACTGGCTACTCCTCATGTGCCAGCCCAGACTGTGCATATGGACAGTTTTCTTCTGCCATGCAATGCATCAAAACCAAACTCAATCCGTACTCACCAAATACACACACTTACAAGCTAGGAGGGACAGTATTCAACAAGAATTTCCTTCTTGGCTCAGCAACACAGAATCACTACAGTGTGGAACCAGGCCATTTGGTCCATGCAGTCCACACCGATACTTGGAAGAGCTTCCCACCCAGACCCTTCCCCCTGCAATTCCCATGGCTAATCCACCTAACCTGCACATCCCTGGACACTATGAGCAATTTAGCACCAATCCACCTTACCTGCACATCTTTGGACCAAGGGAGGAAACCAGAGCAAACCCATACAGACACAGGAGAACATGCAAACTCCACATCGACAGTCGACGAGCATGGGATAGAACCTAGGTGCCTGCACCGTGAGGCAGCAGTGCTAACCACTGAGCCACCGTGCTGCCCTTAACACTGAGATTAATAACAGCATTACAACAACTATTGTGACAAAAATCAACTAATAAGTAAACCTGGGGTCTTCTTGAAAGCATAACATATGGCCATTTACTGTATTCAGAGGATCACTGTCACTGTTTCTGATGGCATCCGAAGGTGGGTAGAAACAGAAGGGTCATTCAGAGGTGGCAGTGATATAATGGTAACGTCATTGGGTTAGTAATCCAGAACCCCAGGCTAATGCTCTGGGCACATGAATTTGAATCCCACCATGGCAAATGATGAAATTTAAATTCAATAATTAAAAAAATGGAATAAAAAGTTTGTACATTGTGGTTAAAAACCCATCTGATTCATCAATGCCCTTTAGGGAAGGATATTATTAGGGTAATTATTAAGGTCCAGTCTGAACTAAGAACACTCAACTTGTCATTTGCTGCAGCCCAAGAGGGAGATTTATATTTTGAAGCTGTGCCCTCTGCAAAAGCTCAAACAAGCCTGAAAAAGCTCTGGCTGAACACTTACTGGTATAATGTGACTCACTTTTAAAAGGACACTGTCCTGACATAACATGCACAAACTATAATACATAATAAGGAAAATCTACCATCCTTACCTGGTGTGGCATATATGTGACTCCAGACCAGGAGGACTGTAGTTTACTCTGAACTGTCTTTTGGACAATTCAGGATGGGCCAGGATGGCCTAGCCAACAATGTTCATAAACTTATCAAAACAAAATATTGCTTTACGGTTGTAATACTGGGTTGATTTTGACTTCAAGTGGCAGACGGACAGAGAACAATGTTTGGCACCCATCCCGTCTGTGAAAACACCACTTTGAAATTAGGCAGGGAGGCTGCAAAGTTTCAAACTGCCATTCAGATATAGCCCACTGGGTTTTGGCTTCATGATCAAGCAATGGAGTCTTGAAGGAACACTGGTGTTAACAGTCAGTTTTGATGCCTGTTCAGATTTCCAACAGATGGTTTCATGCAAAACAGTTATTATTTTTTAAAATCATGTTGCCACCGCCCCATTCACTCTGAAAAACAGGCCCAGTATCTGCTCACTGTAATGCCAATCTTGACCATCTGACATAAACAGGCAAGGGTCATGGCATCAATGTCCAGCCAGGACTGTAAGAAAAGCTAGTGATATTTTTCTTAATGGTAGCAGGGACCAGGATAGGGACAGTGAACAAGATCTGAGGTAGGGTAGAAAAATACAAGGAGACATGAATAAAGACACAGGTAGAATACATTTTTGATGCAGTGTATAACACATTTCACCAGGGCACAGTAACCAAAACCCGACAATGACATTATATCTCTATTCTCTAAGAAATTATACACTTTTATTTTTTTAAAAAGAAACAGGGAGTAAAACAACTGTATCATAAAAGATCTGTTCAATAGTATCGTTAGTCCCTAAAATTGAAATAGGAGTTTCTCGTGTTGTAGTAACTCCAAAAAGGCCAGTATCCCATCGCAAGTCACCCTTTATTTACACATGCACAGTACCTGACACTGAACCAGGCAGCTCACATCTGGTTCCTAGCGTGAACAGAACCTCTGACACACCTGCTTATATCTGACAGCCAGGACTCCCTGATTGGAACAGATTAACAGTCCCAATCACGGAACTCATATTCTAAGGGATCCACATCACTACATTCCTTTCCCGCCCGGTCCTGGGACGTAGGCTCATTCCTTATCCTGTAGCTTCTAATGGGGCATTTTCACACCAGATCTGGGTCCTCCGACTCTGCCTGGGATTCTGGCAGTGTGTACTGGTCCGTAGCCTGTCTCTTGCACCTGGAGCATCTCAGCCAAAATTAATCTTCTTCTTCAGGTGGTAACGGCTTCGAGGCTGCAACATCTGCCATGTCTATCTCTTTCTCAGAGGTCCCTTTGATGCTAGGCAGAGGGGGAGAACCCACAGGTTCTGACAGCCTTCCCGGATGTTCTAAGGGTCCTAGGTACATAGAATCATAGAATCCCTACAGTGTGGAAACAGGCCCTTCGGCCCAACAAGTTCACACTGACCCTTGGAGCATCCCACCCAGATCCATCCCCGTATAACCCACCTAAGCTACATACCCCTGAACACTACGGGCAATTTAGCATGGCCAATCCACCTAACCTGCACATCTTTGGACTATGGGAGGAAACCGGAACACCCGGAGGAAACCCACGCAGACACGGGGAGAATGTGCAAACTCCACACAGACAGTCACTTGAGGGTGGAATTGAACCCGGGTCCCTCACGCTGTGAGGCAGCAGTGCTAACCACTCAGCCACTGTGCCGCCCCGGGTACATTTTGCTCCTGCCCGTTTGCAAGGTTGCAGCTTTCATTGGTCCACGGGCTTGTTCAGGACTGCCTCTCCTACTAGAACTTTGTACGTCACGGGACCTGACCTCACGTCGATCATGCTTCTTACCCATGCAGGGCTGTTCCCATGGTTTTGACACCAAACTTCGTCCCTTGAAGTAAACTGCCTCCCTCGCTTTTAGGAATCTTGAGTCCAGTATTCATTTTCTTGATGCTGTTTCACTCTCCCTGCCAGGTCTGGGAAGATCAGGTTTAACCTGGTGGAGAGCCTTGGCCCCCTCTGCTGGAGCTGTCGCTGAATTGCGTGAGGGGTGGTCCTGTAATCAAACAGGAACTAGGGCAGTTTGGTATCAAGTGAAGCTATGGGTGGCACGATCTTGTCCTCTTTAAGTAGCTGTAGCAGGCGTTTATGATCTATTACTTTTACATATTTATATCCATAAAAGGTACTGGTGGAACTTTCTCACACTACAGATGACCACCAAATCTTCATTCTCTATCAGGGCATATTTGCTCTCTGCATCAGACAGAGTCTGGGAAGCATACTACACAGCTATCAGGCACTCTGCTCAACTGGGCATCTGTGAGCCAATCTATCCTGATACTGTACGGGGAGGCATTGCATGTCAGCACCACAGCTTGCTTGGGATCGTAGTGTACCAACTTAGACGATGATAGCTGCTTCTTCACTTCCCTAAAGTCTACATCTTGGCTACGAGACCATTTCCTTAGATGATGACAGCTACTTCTTCACTTCCATAAAGGCTATGTATGTCTTGGATACAAGTCCATTTCCAATGCTAACCCTTTTTCACTAACAGCTGTAAGGATGCCAGGATGGAGGCCAGGTTAGTTATAAATTTTCCGTAATAATTCACCAATCCAAGGAAAGACCTAGGTTCCGGTACAGACATGGGAGTCGGGTAACCTTTGCCCTCACTTTATCTTGCATTAGGTGGGCCTTTGTTGACTATAGTCCAAGTAGGTCACTTGGGGAGTGCCTGGAACACACATTTTCCCTTTTAAAGTGTGCACCCAGCTTGGACAAATGTTTAGGCACTCCGTCCAAGTTCTCTAAATGCTCTTTATTGGTCTTCCCAGTTATTAGCATGTCATCCAGACAAATGCCGACTTGGGGTAGACATTGTAAAACGTTCTCCATCATCTGCTGGAAACTGGTACAGGCTGATGATACTCCAAAAAGTAGTCTCACATATTGCTACAAAACTTTATGGGTATTAAGCGTTGCATACTTCTGGGAATTCTGATCTAATCGCAATGAGATAGGGTAGGCAATGGCCTAGTGGTATTATTGCTAGACTATTAATCCAGAAACCCAGCTGATGTTCTGGGGACCCAGGTTCAAATCCCACCACAGCAGATGGTGGAATTGGAATTCAAAAAAGTCTGGAATTAAGAATCTACTGATCACCATGAAGTCATTGCCGATTGTCAGAAAAACCCAGCTGGTTCACTAATGCTCTTCAGGGGAGGAAATCTTCCACCCTCATCTGGTCTGGCCTACATGTGAC